GTAGATTTAGACCACTTTGGCGACCCCTGCTTTACACAATCCAAATATTCACAGCATGGAAATATCATATATGTACTGTACAGTATTAAGTGTTTTAAAAAATTCCTAAAATTTAGAGGATGATTACGTAACTACATTTATAAATTTACCCTGTAATTTGTGTAAAATCAAACTCGTAGTTTCACTGAATTATAAAATTTTTAACAACCACAAGTTTGACAAGGGAGGGAAAAAGAAGATATCCCTGGTTGGGATACTCTTATGGTTAAATCTACCTAGGTAGTCCCAATGGCGGAGCTTCGGTTAGGTTAGGTTAACTATATTTTTAGTAAACGTTTCCTTTTTTTTCTTTTGTTCAAGAACTACCGTGAATAAATAACTAGTGACGTTATACATTCGGCGGCTCCCCTACGGGAGGAGTCACGAACAGTCGGAAACGCGGCCATTGGGACTACTTAGATAGACTTTGACCGTTTCAGCAATTAAATTTAGAGTCTGATAAAAGAAATGAATGTATAAAACTCACCTACTTCTGAGTGCCATGTTTTTACACGTGTTCCAGAAATGATCCAAACCTCGCGTTTTTTTTATGCAGCAAACATATGGTAATTAACAGTGTTGCCAATCTGAAATTTTAATTTCGATGAAAAATTGATACAATATTTTTTAAAATTTTATGAATTCAAATTTATAAATAATTTCTGTAAAATTACTTTAAATATTTCCTAGAAGTTTATAATTAATTATCCCGTGTCAATTTTTTATTAAACTATTTCCATCCCTCGGGCACTAAAAGGCTGTTTTTCCTTACGCCTACGAAAGGTTTGGCATGGGAGAGATCTGAAAGTGAGTGGTTAGGTCCAATATGTGCGGATCGACCCACTAAGAAAATATCTGAGCTGATCAGTCTATAGAGAAAACGACCGCTTTGGTCTACATTTAAATGCTAATGGCTTGAGGTACTCCTCTTTTAATTAACCCTGCTTCGCATATGCTTTGCAGGTAGTTATGATTACATAGTCACGGTCGTAGCCGCAATACATTAATACCCGACAATACTATTTTTATTTACATTAATTATATTGTTTTGTTGAGTAAAGTATTTGATATCATTAGTTTGACAATGATATACGAGAGACATTTTTATAGTTCTGTTTTTATAACAAGTTTTTATAAATTCATTGAAATAATATATGTTAACATTATTTATACGGCTACTTTTCCTAATAGGCCAATTTCCTAATAGGCATTTTCCTAATAGGCCTTTTCCTAATAGGCCCTTGTTTATTACAAACTAATTTTAGTTCGTTTAATATTTTTTCATATTGCATACAGTCAAATAAGATGTGTGTGGGGGTTTCACTTATCCCACAAATCTTACAGTTTTCATCATCTCGATGATTAAATCTATAATGATATTTATATATGTTAACTCTTTGGTCTATATATATATATATATATATATATATTTAACTCTTTACGCGTCCACTCTGTGAGCACTAAGGTCTTTTAAGCAAGCCCATTATAGGTTAGGCCAAGCCCACAATGGGGCGGCCGGGTGGTGAGGGACGAGACCTGATATATCCGGACGGACCTGAACAATTCCTGTTGGAGTTTTTTCGGCACGCCCGGATTCGATCTCGGGTTCCTCAGAGCGCTAGACTGCCACATTTGAACCGCTTTTCCATCCAGCCGTCGAATATTTTTAATCTATTAGGCACTGATCACTTCAAATGAAGTTAATTTTGCTTTTGTTTTTAATTCTTTTAATTGTCGACTTTACATAGGTGTCGCGAAATACAGCGCCGATAACATAACATTTCATACGTATATTATTAAATTACGAAAAGCGTAATAACCTAAAATGATAAAAAAGTAGGAATGCCGCAAGAAAAATACTACCAATTTGAAATGCCACTGTTAGAAAAAGGTCGAAAAACGTTGCCTTAACTGCTTCGGTCGTGCAACCATCGAAAAATGCCCCTATAAACTTTTTAATATTTCGTAGCAACTTTTACAAGTGTTTACACAACTGTTTCCGGGTTTTTGCCTCTTCAGATAACGATACACCATAATTGCATTAATTTAATATTTTTGAGAAATTGTAATAAAATATATATATAAACATAAATTACATTCTCGTGAGTTTTTAAAACTTTCAAATCTGTGGGCACCACGAGTGCCTCTTTTAGCAAGCCCATTGGTTCGGCAGGCCCTCAATGGGGTAGACGGATAGTGAGGGACGGGGCCCGATATATCAGGATGGACCATCTCCGAAAAAATTCCTGAGGACATTTCGACCCGTCCGGATTCGCTTCCGGGTCCCCCAGAGCTATACTGCCACCTGGCCGTCGTATTCATTTTATTTTACGTATCATATCTGAATAATTTGTCAGTTGCTCTACACGACAACCAGTTTTAAAAAAGAAATGCTCGATGTTCGAATTTTAAAAGAAATTAGAAGACTGTAAATCGAACGCCGTTAATTAGTATATAGTATTAAATCTATACTAATACTAGCTGTTACCCGCGACTTCGCCCGCGGAAGTTTCGCAAGCAAACCCCATTCAGTATTTCAACAACCATAGTAATTGTTATATAACATCTAGCACTGAGAATGATGAGAATTGCCGAGAATCAAACGAAATGTTTTCAATTTGATCAATTTTCTGGAACGTTTACAATCGTTCTATAATCGAACCAATATGCAATAACAAATTCGAATTTAAAACGGTTCGAACATTTGGTTAAAAAATCGAAATATATAAAAATATTTATAACAATGTCTGAAATGTTATCAATTTAATACACCTAAGTACTTAATGTGGACTAAATGTTGAAAACAAAAAATCGCGTTTAAAATAGTACAGTAGAAGCCGTTCTTTAGGTTAAGCCTTAATGCTCTCCCTCTCCTCCGTTGGGGAATTTCGAAAAATCTTTTCTTAGTGTGCGTTTTCATGACGTACCCTAACTGTGTACCAAATTTCACCTCTTTAGGTTCAGCAGTTTGCTCTGGGCGATGATGAATCAGTGACTCAGTCAGGATAAGTAATTTTATATACAGTAAAACCTGTCTATGGCGACCACCCACTGTTCCTTCAGAAAGTGGTCTTTTAGACAGGTGGTCGTCCAATACAGACGGTGCTGTAATACCGTATTTCCGTACTGTACGTATTTTGCGCACTTTTCAGCCATTTCTACTAAACAAAACTCGAGATGAGTAAAAATAAGCGAATTTTTTCAACGATAGGGCTATACAATATTGATATTGTATTTTATTCTTATCGGATAACTCAATTTACAGGAATTTGTAGTGATTTTATAAGACATATTTAATACCAATATTTTAAAGATTAATACAACCCTCGCATTTTCTCGATTATAATGCACACTTTCTTTTTTCGACTTAATTAATTCGACTTGGTTGTTTTCGTTCGCTCCACAGTTACGTGTATTACGGCATCGATATACAAGCGCGTCGTATCTCTACATCACTTTGGTTTTGGTATTCGTTAGTTTAATCTTATTTTAACTTTAAAAATACCGTATTTTTTAATATTTAATATTTTCTGAAGTACAATAAGAAAAATTATTAATTGACAATAAAACGATTTTATTATTTTTTCTCATTATACGATTTCATTACATTCTGCGATTGTCATTGCGGAATCAAAAAAGAGAGGTTGCCCGTAGAACTGATTTTTGCATAAATGCATTTATTGTTTTTTGAATATTTTGCGTGCGAAAATTACTTGGATATTATTTTTCTAAAAATTTTGTGGGAATAAGGTAGGTTGATACAGAAACTATTTATCGCACATGTACTGTACTGTATATGAGCTTCAAAAGAAATAAATTAATTAATTAAATTTTATCAAACGATGAGATCAGTCAATCAATTGTATCGTGTACAATATTTTATACCCCCAAGGAAAATATTGTAGGTCTACGGTAAAATAAATTTCATTTTTCCACAGTTAATTTCGCCGCTAATTTCTGTTGTGATAACTTTAATACGATCTTCTAACGACAGCACTTTGCATTTCTTTCGTTTTTCGGACAATTTCGAACAAACTGAAATGAATTTCCTTTGTTGCTTGACTAATCCATTAACACATGCACCTAGGGTGCGTTTAATTAATAGCGGTCGCTCTGCGTCTCCGCTACTACGGGAGTGCGCTGTTGTTTGTAGGCATTTAGGAACGACGGTGAAAGAAAGAAAGATGGCGGCGCCTGCATTATCGATAGTATCGTGATGGAGGAATGTATAATTCTAAAATATGAGCTTTTAAAGGCAAAAGAGGGGTCCCAATTGTAAAATTTAACCATAAAATGGATTATTTATTGAAAGAGCATTCAAAATAGCCACGAAAAAAATTAGAATGCCTGCTACCATCCGAAAAAAATTCGAAAAGACACTTACATCACCACGTGCACTAACTTGCGCTTTCACAACTTCTAAATTTTCATTCATAAAACCACATAATGGACCCCGAAACGAAACTATCTGAGCCATGGAGGACGCCATATCATCCATGGCTCATGGCGCCATGGCGGTTGCTTTCCACTGTAAACTACTGCTACAAGCAGCCGTTTTTGCCGTTCGACCGGAATTTAGGAACGCGTTCTGCAGGAATTTTTAAACGGAAGTCGCCCGCGCGGAGTTAGGCGGAGGAATAAAACAACGCACCCCTAATTTCAACGGTGGGAAAAAGTGCCCGAGGTAGGTTCGAACGAGAGTTTAGACTAATTCATTATATTAGGAGGGGGAAACGTTGTTGAACAATAGTTTAGACCAGATATACGCGCAGCGCACTAGCGTGGTCGGTGCGATACGCAGTGCACGTGTCCAAACTAGTAGTATATAAAGTTGACAAGGGTAACGCATGCTCATAAGTTCGCTTTATTCGAACTCTTAGTCTTAATGTTCGAATTTATATTTATGAATGATTCGAGAAGATCCAACTTATTTTTCGAATTTAGTAAACTAGAAAAAGAACCCAGAAGGGGTTACGAAAACGTTTGCTATTTATCACTTACAAGTTAGTGGTACTTTTTTTTTACTCCTTCCGCCCTGTGGGCACTAGGAGGGCCTTTTAAAGCAGGTCCATTATGGGCCTGCTTTAAGAGCCCTCCATCATATCCGAACCAGGCCCACAATGGGGCTGACTGGGTGGTGAGGGACGGGACCCATCATATCCGAACGGACCATCCCCCGAAAAATTCCTGGGGATTCTTTGACCCGCCCGGATTCAATCGCGGGTCCCCCAGAGCGGTAGGTTGCCACCTTGACCGCTCGGCCATCCGGCCGCACTTACAAGTTAGTGGTACTACGCACTGGTTAGTGGTTGCTGTGAATCTTAATTATCGTTATCCCAGTGTGGTAAGCAGATATCTAAAAATTTTCTAATTAGTCTCGGAAGAGGGGGACCTAATTCTTGCACTCGGTGAAAACGGGTAAGATGGCTATAATCTAATAATCTTAATCTTTGCTATCGTTTTTGTTCGAGCAACACCGGGCTCATCTGTTAGTACAGTAATAAATACAAAATTAAAAACTGTGTTAACAATAGCCAAATTGTTCAGACAGAAATATAAAAGGTAAAGATACAATATTCCCGAAAAGAGTTTTCTGGTTTCTTTTCGTGCCCCTCTATATATTTATCGGTGGAAAATTCTGACAAGAAAGAAGAATAATATGGTTCGTTCACAGGTATTTGCGAACTTTGTAATACTGTTGATTCATTTCAAATTATTCTATAAACGTATATAAATAAGTTAAAATATGTTTCAGGAGGTCAAAAGACCCGTAAAATGGCAATGGGAGTAAGCGGAAATGACAACGGCTGCTTCTCTAGGATAAAAAATTTCCTCGAAAAATATTAGAAAACAAAAGAACGTAAAGAAAAGCCTTTTATGAAAATTTGCCAGCAAATAAAATCAAGTTTCAAACGTATTGTGATGGGGGCTTTGCAGATAAATTTTATCAATCTTCACGTTTATCGGAAATATGTTGAAAAGTATCGCCTGTGTCATCGCTGAATTCCACCGACAGTGGCCAAGCGGTCTTCGTGCCTTGAACACTTGGAGTTCGGTCGTGGGTTCACGCCTCTCTCGGACGGGCTAGCCATGTGGAGTTTTTCGGGTTTTCTTTACGTCTGTGCCTAAATAGAAGCCAGTTTCCCTTAAAAAGACCTCTCGGAAGGCATCCTCTCTAGGCAGATCGCTCAAGTGTTGCGTTTCTATAACTTAACAAACAAACAAGCATTGCATATCCTTTCAAGAAACTGAAATGCTGGATATGCGGATGTCCCGACAAACAAGACTTGCAAGCCCCACCTGAGGACTACCTCAGTTACGAGAAAGATGACGTAATTAGTCCGAATTTATTGCCAGAAAGAAAAAAAAATCAAACAAAGTAAAATCCGCATGTGAATGTAATCTCAAAGAAGCTGTCGAGATTTCGGTCAGATATTTTTAGAAATTTTCAAACTTTGCTGGCGATATTATAAAGGGAAGAGTTTCACATTTTACCGTAAAGAAATCATAAAAAGAAAAAAGAAAACTATAAAACCATCCAAAATTCTCCTGTTTTATAAATTTATCTTATCGTAAACATTAATTTTTAAGAATATGGATAATAATAAGAACATTGAAAATGGCTACAAGTAACTGAAGACCTGCAATAGCTTTCTCAAGATATTTTCTTGCAATTTTGTGCTCCTTCTATTCTCTAAAATCATTATATTAATTCTAAAATAAAATAATATTTGTTAATCCTACAGTCATAATTTTATATTTAATTTTTAAAAAAATAAATATTACTTTAAACATTTGTGTAAAATGTCGTCACGTATGGAAAAAATTTGAAAGCAATTTTTTAGAAGATAAATTTTATTTGAGGCAAAATATGAGATAGTGACTTTATTCCTTCAAAATATTAAAAGTTATTTAAAAATCAGAAACGAACAATGTTTACATTAATAAATTTCGCATTTTATCTCTATAAATCATTATCTTGTATCTTGGACATCTTACTGCCACTGTTATATCTTTGCATCTCTCTACGTTAGAAACTTCTTGATGGCGACTCCAAGTTGGACGCTAAATGATATCTAGTGATAGATTAAAGCGTACTTGCTTGTCAAATATATGGTACGTGGGGATTGTTATTTTAAAGGGAGGGGATTTGGAAGAAAAGGGGTTCGAGAATAAGATCATGGCATCCGTATAGTTGTTCACAGAAAGTTGCATCATCGAAGGTATGCAGGCTATTACCACATAGGGTCGCTTAACCTTTAAAGTCTGGAAATCTGGTAGGCCTATACCGATGATATGTTAGAAGTTCATAAGTGTTCCAGTGATGATTCAGAGATTTTTTCAAATATTATTGCAAAAAACACTTGGAAATCATGATGATGTTGCATCAAGTGATGCATCAGATGATGTGAAACCAGTACTGTATTAATGGAACAGAAAGAACCAAATTATCAGTCTTGTCCTCGTGCATATTACAGAACTTGAACGTTATGCATTTGCACGCTGTCAACTTGATGCTATGAAGAAGGTGTTTGAAATTAGCGGAGAAATAGAAAAGTCCACACTGACACATCTTCACCAATCCCCCGTAACAAAATCCTTTGAAAAAAATCACATGTTTACGGTAAAAATGAATATCTTTAAGTACTGTATGTCTCCATTGATTGTGTTATCATAGCATATTATTTTTCGAGATGTTAATTTGATCTTAAATAATGTATTCAGTTGCAACATATCAGTATGTTTTTATGGAAAGTCATGTTGACATAATTAATATTACGTATGTGTAGATAAGCCATTACAACACAAGCTGCTTTAATGCTTTAATGATACTTTATTGAACTATTTTCGTTTATAGAACTATTTTCGTTTATAGAATAATTTTAACATAATACTGTGCATGTAGACTAACATGCACAGTATTATGTTAGCATGAATTTCCGGTGATTAAATTTTGTGATATCAAGTAAACAGTACTGAAAAGACAATGCCTTTCAGTACTATTTATTTTATGAACATTCCAGCGTGGTGAAAAAATGTTCTCTTTTGTAAATTTTTTGATAACATTAAAAATTGATACTTTTTTCATTAAATTTAGCAAAACATGGGTGCAGTAAATGTGGTATGCGTGTAGGTATGACACGTCTGCAGAAACACTCCCCTCTCTAACTTGGACACTTTGGATCCTCCATCTATCATCACAGGTGTCCAACTTATTGAGATTTTACTGTATCGGATTCATTTTGTTTAAAAACTTATTGCCATAACTTCGAAATTGTTTTTAGAATCTTCCAACTAATACACACACATCTGTAGAATTTTCCCCTCCGGGAAAATATTTTGGAAATGTCAACCGTCAGTGCACTTCAAGCTTTAGTGCCTTTACCTTAATTGTAGTTTTTCCAAGCCACTTTTTACGAAACTGTAGAGTGAAGTTATGAAGTCAGCAAAATGATCTGTTTCAGATTATATCCACGCTAGGGAAAGCTTTGAGTAGCATAGATATGCCGTCAAATTGACATCTGCACGCTAGATGCTACTCGCAACAACTTAAATCCGTCTTCAGGTGCGAGTTATCATTAATCCGGCACTGGTTATAACTTTATCATCTATACCAGGGGTGAACAACCTTTTTAATTAACGGGCCAATTTAAATTTTAAAGGCCGCAAATAAAGTAACACTTATTAATAATTTACAAAACTTTATTTATAATAAACATTAGAATAAAAAAATATAAAATTTAAAAAAAGTAAATATTTCATATACAAATTTTAATGCAAATTATAAAAACAAACAAGAAAAGAACAGAAAAACGAATTTACTTGAAATTTTTAATGAGAAATTTGGCACTGTTTTTTCGATACAAGCTGATCAATATCAGCCGGAATTGATGAGGTAGCTACACGTACGCAGCTTTCTAATCGTGCATCACTCAGTCTTGATCGGTGGTCATTTTTCATTAATTTCATGGTTGAAAACAATTGTTCGCAAACATACGTACTTCCGAACAGAGACATCATTTGCTTTGCATTTTTCGTCAAAAACGGAAATTTCTCAGGGTTAACATAAGATTTATAAAAATTTTCGATGTTTACTGAGAAAAATACATTTTTTAAATCGGTATTATTCTGCATGTCAATAACTTCCATTTAAAAGTCTTCGGGAACTGTATCCACATCGATATTAAATGGCGAGGTAAACATTTTCATGGAAACCGCTGTCTTCTCAGATTTGAACATTTGGAATCATAATTGAAATTCGTTGATTAAAATGTCTATATATTGTGCGTATTTTTGAGAAGTAGTAACGTTTTCTTTTTCTAAATGTGGAAAGTGAGACACATCATTCTGCAAAAGATGCTGTTTCCACAATTTTAATTTGCGCTCAAAGCCCTAAATTTTATCATACAAATTGTGAATAAACTGTCCTTTGCCTTGAAGTCCCACATTAAGATCATTGAGATGCTGAGTTATGTCGATAAGAAACCCAAAATCGCTCATCCATTCTTTATTACCAAAATGAGGAAAGCCTATCCCTTCATATCCAAGAACAATTGTATTTCGCTTTTTAAGTTGTATACTCTTTTTAGCATTGTACCTCTACTAAGCCAACGTACTTCGGTATTAAAAACCACGTCGCCATATTCAGTTTCTAAATCTTTCAGGAATTCTTTAAATTCACGGTAATTTAACGCGCGCATCTTTATAAAATTGATTAGTTTAATTATTGGTACTGTGACATTTGGCAAACTCAATCTTTTCGCGCACAAATTTTCTTGGTGAATTATGCAGTGGTTAACGAATATTTTCCTTCCTGTGACCTTCTTAATGTCTTGAAATAGCATTCCCGATACTCCTACCTCCATGCTTGACATTGCTCGTGCTCCATTTGTCGATATACCAATAATCTTTTCCAATGAAATTGAAAAATTTTCCAACACAGACTTTAGTTCATCGTACAGGTCTTTGCCGGTTGTAGTCCCTTGCATTGGAATCAGTAAACAGAATTCTTCGGTAATATTAAATTTGGTGTCAATACCACGTGAAAATATAGCCAGTTGTGCTGTATCGCTAATATCGCAACTCTCATCAAGTGCCAAAGAACAGTATTCGAATTTTGCAATGCGTTCACGAAGCGTTGTTGCTATGTTCTCGGACAAGTCTTCAATTCTCCTTGCAATGGTGAATCTTGATAAACTAATGTTTGAAATAATATTTATTTTATCAG